AATTTAATATGATCTTCGTAGATAGTAATAGCTCGTGTGCATAGTACAAATCTCTCTACATGCTCACTTTGCTCGCAGCCATCGCGCAACGATCTCAGCTAGCCTAATGATGGACCAATGACGCTGGCAACCGTCGGTCGCGTTTGACTAGCCAAAGATATATTCTTCGGGTCCGTCTATACGTTCAAACTGTAGGCCGGGCGAGGCTGACAGCGCGTGTGCATGGTAAAAAAATCTTGATGTCTACTCCGCTTTAGCTTCGCTCGTAGCATTTCGCGCCACGATTCCCAACTATGCTAATGTAAGGCAAATGCGCTGCAACCTCGGTCGCCGTTGACTGCCAAGATAATATTCTTCGGCCGTAATTATACGTTCCAAAGTGGAGCCGCGGTCAGGGCTGACAGTCAACGTGTGCATGTAAAATCTGATCGTACATGCTTCTACTTCGCTCCGCAGCATCCGGCGCCCACTTGTGTGTGTGTGTGGTGTGTGGTTGTGTGTGTTGTGTTTTGTGTGGTGTGTGTGTGTGGTGTTGTGTGTGTTTGGTGTGTGTGTGTGTGCTGTGGTGTTGGTGTGTTGTGTCGGTATGTTGGTCGCTGCGTGGTGTGTGTGTGTGTGTGTGTGTGTGTGTGTGTGTTGTTGTGTGTGTTGTGTGTGCTGTGTGTGTCGACTATTTATCGTAGTGGAGCAGACATTCCATCTATTTGATCATACATTTTATAGAGTTACCGTCAGCCGGGTAATTCTTATTATCATTGAAGTGATAGGATTAACTTTTTGCCAACGGTAGCGTCAAATATTCTCCATTTTAAAAGTATATACTTTACCGCAGTCGCGAGCTATTAATGAAAATTCACCATGATCGACGAAATTTCATGTGCGGATTTCGGAATGATGTGCGCGCTTTCTATTCAGCGTATATTTTACTAAAATATTTTAATCTTTAGAAACACTTGCGTTCCGAGTTTGGCCTTCTAGCAGCAGCTCACAAATGACCATCTGGCTGCATTGACTCGCGAATCTCTGAATCTTTCTCAACACAGGTGACAGGACACCGTAAACTGTTATCTGACATATGTCCCGGTTTCTACGGAGTTTTCGTCTCAAATGCGTTTTCGTTTTGTTCCTAAAGCATTCCAGACCGGCAGCTCTTGGTCTTCTCTCTCGTAGATAATTGTAAATAAGGCTAATAATGACCCTTCTGTAAATTACACTCTTGAATATGACGATATATCTGTATCTTATGAACCATACATTGAGATAAACTCATGTCATGGCTTGGCCTTCTATGTTCTAACTGCAATAATCTGCGTCAATTTAATCTAAACATGCCGAATGCAGCAAATGGCCCGGTGCGAATAGCAGCAAACGTGTCCTTGTTCGCATCGCCGCGGTGCGAATAGCAGCAAATGTGTCCTTATTCGCACCGCGGTGCGAATATCATTTGCGGATCTGATCACTGCATACTGGCGCCACCTTTTGTCATATTCCCGTGTCAAAAATGGCAGACAGCGAGGTGCCGGTTGTCGTTCCTCCGCAAAAAATAAATATCTCGTAGATAGTAATATCTCGTGTGCATAGTAAAATCTGATCTACATGCTTCACTTTTCTCGCAGCATCGCGTCACGATTCCCAGCTATGCTAATGTATGGACCAATGACGCTGCAACGTCGGTCGCCGTTGTCTGCCAAGATAATGTTCTTCGACCGTTCTTAATTATACGTTCAAACTGGAGCTGGGCAGGCTGACAGCACGTGTGCATGGTCAAATCTGATCTACATGCTTCACTTAGCTCGCAGCATCGCACCACGATTCCCAGCTATGCTAATGTATGGGCAAATGGCGCTGCAACGTCGGTCGCCGTTGACTGCCAAGATAATATTCTTCGGTCGGTCTTGTAATTTTAAACTGGAGCCGGGCAGGCTGACAGCACGTGTGCATGTTAAAATCTGATTCACATGCTTTACTGCACTCGCAGCATCGTGCTACGATTTCCAGCTATGCTAATGTATGGGCAAATGGCGCTGTGACGTCGGTCACCGTTGACTGCCAAGATAATATTCTTCGTCCGTTCTTATACGATCAAACTGGTAATAAGTAAATCGTAATCCTAAATGTAAGCAGAAACGTATGAGAAACTTTAATGTTAGACCTTCATGGAAACCACTAACAATTTAATTTTTTAAATGAACGAAAAAGCAATAATCAATTTAGAAACACCAGTAGGAAAAACGGATAATTTCATAACAAAAGAAATAGTTAAACAAGGAACTATATTAGGACCAGTCCTATGCTGCATGACTTTGGACTGTTTAAATTTCCTAAATAATGTGAAATACATGTATAGTGACACAATAGAAATCGGACCTTTACTATATATGGATGATATTTTAGGAATAGGAGATCATATAACAATTACAAAAATCGCTCACTCATGTCACAGATTAGCACAATCAAAAAGATTAGAATTTAATTTAATTTAAACAAAACAAACACAATGGTCATGAAATTCTCAAATAAAGAAAGGATAGAGAAAGATATATTATTAGGAAATCAGGTAATCAAAAAATGCACTAAATATACATATCTAGGCGATCTATTTAATGACAAAGGGGGGTTTAAGGACATGATAAAGGCACGATCCGATAAATGTAGATTCATGATGAGAGAAATAGTTTCAGGGACGGAGGAGCAAAATTATGGTAACCATACCATAGAAGCAAGAGTCAAATTATATGAATGTACAGTAATACCTCCTTTCCTGAACAACAGTGAAACGTGGACCAACATAACTAAGGAAGAATTTAAAATGTTAGAGGGCTTTCAAAATGAATGTATACGTAAAATAACAAAAGCCCATAGTAAAACACCATTGGAAGCATTAAGGATAGAGTTGGGAATTTTACCAATAACTGATAAAATAGCATACAAAAAACTTATGCTACTTCAATATATAATTAAGTTGGAAAACAATAGATTAATGAAGAAAGTTTTTATACAGCAGATCAAAAAGGAAGGAAGAAACTGGGGAAATGAAATCCAAATAATACTAGATGAATACGAACTAGAAATATCATTACAGCCATAAAATTAAAGCCAAAAAGAGCGCTGGAAAAAAAGTCAAAGATTCTATACTAAACGAGTAATTAAAAGAGACAATTGAAAACTAGAGCAAACAAAAATGAACATGATAAACATTGAAAACATACGGATTGAAGGAATATATGAAAGTTATCATTTAACGATTCGTGTTTTGCATTTAAATGACAAACTGCATGATTGACCTAAAAGGATACTTTAAAATAATTTTTAGCGATGATAAGTGTAATAGATGTAATAACGAGTATGAAAGAAGATATGGAACATTTATATAATTGTGATAGTTATAAAAAATATAAGGAGGGACAAGAAAATAGATAAACTGAAAGGGTAACCATGGACTATTAAAACCAGAATTAGATTATGTACGGAAAATTCTGGCGATCCGTGACACTAACATGTAGAGAATAGAGGCGACGCTTTATCCCTTTGTTTTCTAGATGAACCCCGCACTCGTTGATTCGGGTGCCTTGTGAAATACAAGAGAGGGAACCAGATACAAGATACAAGATACTAACAGACCTGCATGAATACCTCCATGATATACTCTAATTAAGGGATAATTACAATTAAGACAACAATTGAATTACGGTAGAGAGGCTGTGATCGCCGCGACGACTGGCAGACCTCTGCAGCATCCGTGACGGCGCGTTCATTCGCATCCTCGTTGCCGCGGGAATCTGGATCGCTTACTGCGTAGCCCACGATTACGTGGATAATAACGCAGGGACATTCTGTAAGGAATTAACGTCCAGGGCTATAGCTATAGCTATGAGGTGTGACCTAGCTTGGTGTAAAGCCAGGTAGTTAGCCTTTAGCCGAATGACACTGAAAGTGGTTACTTATGAGAATGGCGCCCTCAGTGGTTCTTTTACGTCCCCATTGGCTCAGATTTATGGAGACGGGACCGCCATTTTACGTGGTCATCCGAGCCACGGGAGATTCACAGTCTCCAATGTTGAGAGCCAGGTTTTTACACCTTGAGAAAATTCACTGCCCCTGCCGGGGTTTAAACTCGCAGCATTCAGTGGACAGTGCATGACGCCTACCACTGGGCCACGGAGGCACCCACTATCGTCGTACTGCTACCTCCTCCTCCTCCACTTCCTACTCTAGACCTTACGCTGTAATTTTACATTTATAGCAATGATTAACGTTGCCACATATGTTACAATGGAGTACATTCACACAGGACCATTTTATTAAAAACACCTAATAATTATATATAAAATATATGAAATCAGGATTGAATCGATACAAATTTTTATTATTTACTCCTGATCGATCATGAGAAAGAGTAAGAAGAAATACGACGTGGAACATAATATATATATAAAGCTAACTAAAGCTATTCAGTATTCTATAGCTATTCTAGAGTGTATTTCCAGAGCATATAAATAAATCTTGATTTATATTCTCTGGTATTTCTATTATGGTATTCTGCCCTGGTATCTGAGACGAACACATAGAGTTGTATAAATATATAATATATTTAGGGGTCTAATATATATATATATATCTTATATATATTTATTATATATATATTATATATATATATATTATATTAATATATATTATATTATATTATATTATTATATATTATATATATTATATAATATATATATATATAATATATAATATATATATTATATATATATATATATATAATAAATATATTATATATATATAATAATATATATATATTATATCTATATAATATATATATATATAATATATTAATATATTATTATATTATTATATATTATATAATAATATATATAGGGGTCTAATATATAACTCTATGACGAACACAAACAAAGACGATACCCAATACTATATTCTACGATGCTATTCAATACGAAACTGGTCACGTGACATTCTTCCTGTGACGCATGTCTGTGCGGCCATCTTCGAATTTCTATCAACAAATGATTGTTCTGGCCGTTATTTCACATTATTTAAGTAATTAAACAAAAAGGTATAGAAGGATTAAAATATTGTTCAATTACTATGTCTGCCTTAGACAAAGTAACATAAAACTCTACTTTATACTGCATCATCACTCCATCCCTATCCAAAGCCGTTCATTAAAAGTCTAAAACTAAGGAGTAAGGGCTGATAGTGATAGGCCTACTGATGCTGAGAGGGTCTATGTCCCCCGGGGTACTGCCGGAACGTTACCCGTGGTACGGTCGCGTAATATCCGCGGACGTACCCTGGTACTATCTAATATGCCAGAACGTACCTCGTCTACTCACTAACGAGTCTAGGGAGTCCGCCTAACCCCCTACTCTCTAACCAACCCTGAACCCTAATCCTACCCCTAATTCCTCAACCCGCCTAACCATATCAATAGTGACCAGCGCGTAACGTTCCGGCACCGTACCCGGGGACATAGACCCTATGAGGATTAGCTGATAGTGATAGGGTCTATCGAAAGTATCATCCTATGTCCCCTAGCTCCAAGAAATCGGTATTGCTAGGTTAGATACTTCAAGTGGCTTGCAGCAAACACGTAGTGTCTAGCTCTTAGCCCAACTGACTGCCGGCAAATACTCTGGCGGCCACGGCAATCCAGTCCTAACGTAGCAAGCTCACCTATTGCCTATGCAAGATACGCCAAAGAACACTACAACAAATGTGATATTTACCAAATGAATCAGTATATACGTCCACCTTCTTGTAACCATCAGTGCAGCTAGATGCGCTGGTACGTACGGTGTTACAGCGACTTTTTTGACGAACGAATTCAACAAATTTATGCAATTCGCGCGCCGATGTTTGCCTATCATTCGACTGTGACTTAAACCGTAATGGGATCGAACAAAGGAAAATTAAACCGATCTGCGGTCCTCATGAACCAACCCCTACATCCGCAGAACAATTCCCATCTAAGGTTTTCAAATGGCCCAGACCATTTGTGAACATCGTTTCAACTTGCTCTTGGTGTGTAATTTCGCCGTGGAGCCATTGTCGCAGCTTTTGTACTATTCTGTCAGTATTCTTCTCTAGCGGAGTCTTTTTTGGTTTCCGCTGAGCGCCTCGCTAAACATGGCGGGTAAAAGCCGATTGGAAAGTTGATATGCTTTGTGAGAATTAGCAGATTATACCGTGAATTAAGAGATACATTCTAGCCCTAGAAGCAGGACAACTGTGATTAACAGGCATAATAGCCCATCGATTATGTCAATTTTAACAATGCTAGAGTAACTGGCACCTTGTGTATTAATAAGTAGACATTACGAGATTATAGGCCAAACGCGTCACTTAGTTTGTCCAATATCAGCTGCTGTTACTAGAATGTCTAATTGAATCGCGTCAGTCGCACGAAAATCAGTTGACTGACTTCCTGTTTTACAGTTTCGAAACCCGCATACTTCGAACGCGGGTGTGATAACAGATTTCATAGCGTCCACCGACACTTTTCGCACGCATGCCAGCACAAACGCACGACCATGCCCAATTCGCCTCGGCCGCATCCCGTACGCAATGCTCAGCGATAGTAACAGTACCGTAACGTATCTAACATACCTCCTTGATTGTAATTAATGAACGTGGCAATCTCACGTAACGCAAGCACGGACGCTCGTGATAATAGAAACGAGGCTGTGTTGGGGCCAACGCTATGGGAGGATCGCGCCCCGGACTAACCACGGCCACAACTAACACATGAAAGCAGAATGGCAACTACGCGTACTTACGTATATTGGGTCAAACGATATGACACCTGTGTCTGAAAACTTGAAAGACATGTGGTAACCCGTTCATCTAAGCACCACGGATTTATTTACTTGTGCCTCAATACCGAGATACAGCCCAGAGATACTTCTCTACAGCTCATATAGTCGTATATAAGCATCCGCGGGACAATACAATTCTCTGCTAAACACCCGTAGCAACATGTCACGTTGTAACCGAATTCGAGCAATTTTTCCTTGGCAACCAATTTAGTGTTGGCGCCAGATTACCACGATTTAAACGGATTTCAATTAGACATTTCTAGTAATATTCTACGTGATATTGCTGGAGCAGAACTATATACGTCGTTTTGACTAATATAGGTAATAATGTACTTATTTTATATCCTAATCTATATAATTCTCAGTTTGACTTGTAGCATTCGTCAATCTTTGTCATAATCATGGCCTTATGCCTGTTATACTGTTCATATTTCAAACAAGGCGAAGTCAAATAGGTGGTCATAGACATATTTTATTTGGGATATTATACGATGATGTTTATTCATCTAGATCTGCAGAGGTGATAGTGTTTTTTGTTATTGAAGGTGTCGTCTGTATTATGACAATCGTTCGGGCCACAGCTGGTCGTGCTACTAAGTCCCCGGCCAGGGTACTGCCCGAACGTACCCTGTTATGGTCCGGTATACCGGAACGTACCCTGTATTGTCCGCGGAATATATCCGGAACGTACGCGCTGGTAACAATCTAGCTGTATATGTTAGTGGTTAGGGAGTAGGCTAGGCGACCCCCCCTAGACTCGCTTATGGAGTAGGCGAGGTTACGGTCCGTCATATTAGTAAGTAGTTATTTAGGGTCACAATTCCACTTGTTGACGGCTGCTTAGGTACACAAATGATGACACAGATTGCTGTGGTATCATCAACTGCAGCACAGTACTTCCGTATATCAAGGAATGATGCAAAAACCTAAACTTAAACCCTAGCCCTAACCCTAACCTTAACTATACTTCGTAATACATAAGCCTAAGGTTATACTTGTATGACTTTAAGGGTTTTTGCATCATTCCTTATATACGGAAAGTCTGTGCATTCAGTTGATGATACCACAAATACTGTGAATCACTTCGTGATACCTAAGTGCCTAAAGGTGGATTTGCGCCGTATTTAGTATCCAGGGTACGTTCCGGTATATGCCGATCGGTAACCAGGCGTACGTTCCGGCAGTTACCCTGGGGGACATAGACCCTATCAGCGCAAAACTAACCTATTCGTGAGCTCTAGTAACTTAGCCGATATAAATTCTGTCCCATATAATACCTTTTATATTTTTTGTGAGGGTTTATTGGTACAGAGACGGTGCTGCATTGAAAATTTCGTTGAGACTCGCATTGCAATGCATGCGCGTGCGAAAATATCCTCACGCGTTCCCTTTTCTTCACATGCTTTACCTGCTACTGATATGTGGTATATCATGTGTACTGGTGCAATCGTGTATCACTCTAATGAAGATTGTTTTTCAGACACCCCACTTCATTAACTTGTTATTAATTTACGTTTCGCACCATTGTGAACAAACAACTCAAGGAAGCCATTCAGAGCGAGGCTTAACAATACCCCCCTAGGTTCTCGCTTGATATCGTGTGGCATCTGCAGAGGCCTCGATAGACTCGCGCTCTGATTGTCTGTATTGTTGTTAAATGGCGACTGTAATTTAATATACAGTTTAAGATGAAGGCGGGTTTCTGAAAACAATTCTTAAGAAAGTGAATAACGATTAGAAATGAATTGTATACACATATTTCAGTAGCAATGGTTCAAGCCATGGTAGATAGGAAACGGTAGCTTTTTTTTCCGCGCCAATAGCGCGAACGGCCGCATTCGCAGTGCATGATTTTGCGCATGCCGTATCTCACTGAAATTTCATGAGCCCCGTCTGTTCCTAATAACCTCACCAATAATATAATAAAAAGTTTTTATATGGGACAGAATTATTCGGTCTATAGTAACTTAGCTCTAGTAGTAGTAGTATACTATAGTCCGCTTACATTAACTGCCGCTGGCCAGCGGCAGTTAATGTAAGCGGGCTATAGTACTAGAGCTAATCGTAGCTGAGCTTGTGCCCAAACTAGAGTAGAGAGTAGGCCTAGAGTGTACATGTGCTCAGCTGGGATACTATTGCTGAGAGGGTCTATGTCCCCCGGGGTACTGCCGGAACGTACCCTGGGTACGGTCCGGTATACCGGAACGTACCCTGGTACTATCTAATATGCCGTACCGTACCTCGCCTACTCCAACTAACTTTGGGTCTGACGAAGTATTAAGGATTTGTCTTGATTGAGCATTGTAAATGTAATACATCACCTCAAATTTTAGGTGGTGAAGTATCATCTGGACATAATATTGAAAGCCAAATAATTAGCTTTTTCCCCAAGGAGTAACTTTACTTCAATAAGTAAATTACAATATTAATTGCTTTCTTTTGCTAAAACCTACACTCTCCTTCCAAGAAGTTTAATGTTAGAATAGAAAATTAAGGCTGAGGCCAGTGATTTTATTTTCGGGTAAGTGGATTGGAATGTGAGACTGGCAACCCCTACCCATCTTATGTTGTGACCCTGGGGTCATGACCCCACTTAGTTATGATGTTGGGTCCTGACAATTTTTGCCATCTAGTTTCAATCTAATTCCTGGTGAGAAACCTGCAAACTATCGTCAAAACCTGTTCGATCTCTAGAAAATAATCGTGATCATGGAGAGATGAGTTTGGAACGTCATCCGTGTGTTTACATGTTGGTGCAATCCGCACAGTGAGACGACTGACTCTTGCTGGATTGAGCTAGTCTGGGAGGTGCGCTTCGTACTGTGATCCATCCGCCACACTGCAAGTTGCAACCATGTCCGGATTCCTGGAAGACGAGGCGGAGGTGTCGGGGGAAGATGACCAGAAGTCCGGATCCGAGTCGGACGAGGACTCCGGCGCAGTGCAAGTGAAGGAAGTTCGTCATAAAAAGAAATCCAAGGCCGTGGTTGTAGACAGTTCCGAGGAGGAAGAAGATGGTAATTCTTGCATCCCCTAGTAGTAAGATATTGTCGTGATGAAAACTTGCGGAAGTGTATGTATTGCTGTATTAGTACCTTTTTATGATTTTTTCGAGTGTATAATAATGAGAAAATATGGCAGACAGCGGAGATATCAGACCTCATGCACTAGACATGTTAGATTATGCGAACACCGTATTATTACCGTCATGACTATGTGTTCCATATATGCGTGTTCATAGAATTTTTTTGAACAGCAGAAATTGTGCTTGTATTTTCAATTGTATTTGACTGCTGTAACCTGGATTTTAGATGAAGATCTACTCAGAGAGGAGATGAAGGATCTGATTAATGATGACGTCGAGGAGGAGTCTGCCAGCAGCGGTTCTGACGACAATGCAGATAGAGGCAGAAAGAGGAAGAAGCGTGGAAGTGGTGAGAGCCTTCAATCCACTAGTTGTACTTAGCAAGTTAGCAAACTACAGCTACCTAGCAACTACTTAGCAAAGTTCTTCTCTGCATTTGTCTAGAAAGAATGTAATTACAGGCATACTTTTCCAACTTGCCATTAATGGTAGGTGGGAGAAAAAAATTGAAGCTGTGGAAAAACTTTTGAATCAGTCTATTGGTTAGTATAACATACACAACGTAATACTGGCGACAATTAACTGCCTCAAGATGTGAGGGACTTCCATTTCCACAGTTTCTTTGGACTTGGGACAAAATATGTAATTTTGCTTGTTGATATTGGTGTTATATCAGTATATTGTCTCTAGCTAATGCCTGTATGTGAAACTTTTTTGCGCAGGTGAAGAAGAAGATGAGGATGATGATGATGATGATGACAGACTCGAAGATGAAGATTATGACTTAATTGAGGAAAATCTCGGTGTGAAGGTCAAACGTGTAAGTAGTTTCTTCCGTTCTTTTATTGAGTTGTCCGGCTAAATTGTCTCTTGTTTAGAATAAATGTAGTTATGCTTTATGTGAAGATTGTTATCATAAACTGAAAATTTGATTTTGTATGTATATATCTCATGACGTTTTATGCACTGGAATAAACTACTCAATCGTGCCTGAATGCTATCGGAACTAAATACGTAACAATGTGACGATTAACCTCGTTTCTCGTGAATCGCAAACAGAAAAAGTTCCGGCGTCTGCGCAAGATATCGGATGACGACGACAGCGACAATGAGGCGGGTCATGACCTTGCGAAGGTCGACGACCGCGACGCCATCGCCAACGAGCTGTTCCAGGGCTCGGACGACGACGAGTCAACGGCGGTCAGTTCTGCACGAATAGTTGCTACAGCTATTGCATTGTGTATTATATTGTATATCGTATAGAAGTTTTGGGGCAGAAACAAAATGAGTCTGAACATTAGCCTTGACTTTAACTTTTTAATGTAGACCAGACCTCTATACACTGCATATGAGTAACTTACTACTTTACCATGTTTCTGTCAACTGTGTATGAGAAATAGTTAATGTTAAGATCAATGTTAAGACAAATTTTGTTTCTGACAACAGGCCCCTGTTGTGTTGTACTGTATCATATATTGCATAGCTGTCGTATTGTGTAGTTTATAGCATATTGTATAGCATTTGTATTGTATTAGAGTCGAAGATATCTTTCTTGCTTTGCTAGGTAGGAGTTACTGTGGTCTCATAGCGTCACAGTATATAATATATAATTTTTTCGCACTAGTCTATAGACAACTGTTAACAAATTTTCATCAGCCCCACCAAAATTTACTATTCTTTGTAAATTTTGTTTGATGAGGCTTTAAATTCCAAATATAATTTTGGCCTCTGGGCCTCTAGCAAAGTTGTACCTAGAATTTAGAAAGGTTTGATATTTGCTCAGTAGCATGTAGGTGTGCTGTCATAATTCCATAGCAAGTGCTGAAAGTGTGCTGTTTACTGCTATCTTGGGCAGCCAGTTACTATGATTTTTTAAGTGAAATGCAAAAAAAAACACCTGATCGCTGCTTCAGTTGATTTCATTTCATATAAAATCATTGATGCAACTTCTGTAGATGGCTGATTTAGCATTAATTGTGTAACCTAAGCAGAAATGAAGTAGTGAGTGTTATTGCCACAACAATGTTAATCGTTAGTGATAATTTCTGCTTATAGACACTGCTGCCAAGTATTCTAGTAGCTCTTATCTTAGCCTTGCTGTAGGCTAACTGCTTTGCATGGCATGTAAATGCATGTCTCTGTGATTTATACACACCGGCTCTTTTCTTACCCATGTATGAGTTTAATCCTGACTAGATTTTGGTTAAGCATGCGCTGACAATCAGGTGACCTTGTCTTATGATGCGTTATGGTCAAAATGTTACCTCAACTCCTGCTTAATCGAGACTGAATATCTAAGCTACTATTTAAGAGGAGGGTTATACGATTACGTGGCTGCATACACATACATGCACACAAGGATACAGACAGGCATGTGTGTATGCATAGATGCATTCAAACAGGCATGTGCATTAATGCAATCACAAACGTGCAGGCGCACGCACACACATGCACATGCACCACACACATACACACATTCATAGGTACTGTCTATCTCCTGTTCTTATGTGCCTAACTTTGTGCGGAATCCTGAACTGCATATATTGTTGCCGTGTGAAGTCGGAGAGACTGTCATGCTTTCTTATTATATTGCTTCTATGGGGGCGTTTTTCTTTAATTCATAGAAGTTACTATATCTTTAACAAGGAGTGGTAGCAGTTGCTAATGCCTCTTTCATACAGCTAACAATATACTCTTGTTAAATAAAATCCTTTCTTTTTCACGGCCCTCTTTAATGCCAGATGGTAAAGGTGACTAAAAAGGTGATTTTATATTTCTGCAAGTGAAGGTAGGGGAATCTGGCTATGGCACCATGATGATAATTAGCTTCTGGTTCAAAAGGCCGAAGTTGTGTGAAGGGAAGGGTAGTGCTAAGCCATGCTGTTTCCCTACCTTTGTTTGCTATGTAAATGTAACCTTTGCCATTAGACCAGATTATAGAGTAGTGGATGCATCTATTATCATGGTATCATTCCACAACAGACATCAATAACTCGTGAAAATGATGGGTGGCTGTAAATGAAAAGGTCTTTCAGAACATTGAGACTTTCTTCCTTGCGAGATGCACTGGGGAGGGTAGCTACGTGCTATTTCTGATCTATTGTGGCTGAGTGTGTGAGTTAATCGCGAATAAATAAAGAATTTGCGACTACATTGAAAGATACGGTAATGTTGTCGAGTTGGAATGGGTTTGCACTCACTGCCAGTCATTTCCAAACTAGCTGTGTGGTGGTAGTGAACATTAAAAATAATTTTGTAATAATTCCCATGCTTGGAATTTCCAGGAGCCCCGGCGGCCTGAGTCAGTTCCAGAAGAGGTTGGGGATGATGAAGAAGGAGAGGAAGAATCGGGTGAGTTGCAGGAGAGATTAACATGAGGGTCATCATGTGGAGTTACGTAAAATTACAGTTACTGCTAATATTTCCATCATGTCTCAGATGCATTATCTCACGTATCGAATAAATAATGCATAATTGTGTATATCATCCTTGCATGTGTTGGTTGGTTATGACGCTGACTGATAGTGGATATTTAGTATTATGTTGCACTTACCTTGCAGGCAGAGGATGATGGTCTGATTAAGATTACAATGGGAATCGACCTTGGGTCATATGAAGGTCACCAGTCATACTATGAAGAAATCAAGCAGCTGTATTATCGTGTAAGTGCCGCTTCATGATCTGATTTCCGTACTAGTATCTTGCTGTGTTTAATGTATATCTTATTGTATTTGTGGTGTTTTTAAACCCTTGGGGCTAATCATGGACCATAGGCCATTTGCAACTGTGTTTCTATCCTCAAGGTGTTCCTATAAGGTATCTCTTAAAGGGTCTCTTAAGGGTATCTCTAAGGGTCTTGAGGTATCCCTTAAGAGTTCTCTTCTCTGTGTTTCTATAAGGTATTTTTCAATGCCTTATTCAAGAGCACAGCAGCAGTACCCCATTATTAGTGTAGTCTGTTAAAAAAATCAGTTCAATCTAGTGATAACTGTTTGCACGTAATTTAAATAACCCGTGATTTCATCGTGATTCACTGTTTAACGAAATGCTTGTCATTTAAATTATTAACAATTCTAGTAATCATAATCGATGATTGGCTTGTCGTAGGATGAGTTTAGTCACACAGTGCAGGAGTGGAACCAGCTCAGAGAGCAGACACTACAGAGGACTCTCAATACCATGCTGTATCCATTCTTTGCGAAAGAGCTAAAATGGAAGCTGCTGCAAGAGGCGAAAGATGGCATCATCAAGGTATGATCTACGTCTGCATGTCACTGTGTCTAGTGTATGGCAGTACAACTGATGCGTTAATTATTGTTTGTATGGCGCACATTTTTAGCTCAGCTGACGAAGTCAGATGCAGCTTGTAGAATCGCATGAATGTCCGTCTGTGCGTCAATAGTTACGGCACAAATCTTAACCGCTCAGTGTTAGTTTGGTCAGAATCTTCTGCACCTTTGTCACTTTGCATGTATGTCTGGATGTTTCTTCTGGGTGTGTGTGTGTGATGATGATTGGTTGCTCGCATTTTTTGAGATGTGGACGACTTTATCGTGGATGATGAGGGTGAGCCAATCTCGAAGGAGAAGACTAAGAAGAAACGCTACAGACATGCCGATGCGTAAGTCACCGACCCTCTGTATGCTACGTCTGTCCTGTCGTCACGTCACCTCATTAGGTTCTAGAATGTTTTAGATGTAGATGTTCTAGAATTTCAGTGTAGTGATTGGCCTTTTTGGCACTCCATGCAGTGATTCCCTTTTCATACGTTTTCGCAATGGCGCAATCATAGAGACAATTGCGAAAACACGTGTGAATGGTGGTAGTGTAGTAGTCCAAGGTTATTGGAGTTACGGTAAGACTAGGAGAATGAAGCAGCATCAAGTATGATAGACTACTGTCACTTCAGCTTTAACAAGAAATGAAAACTACGAGCATACCTGTTACTAACTTCACATTTAAACATGAAAATTCGTGCCTGATAAACATATACTATTAAACACTGCTTTAAATGAGCACAAACAATGATTGTAATATGTATATATATGTTTATAATTGGATTATAATAAAGGTTAGTCACTGTCAACCCCTCTGAGCTACCCAGAATGGCTCATGGGCTATAAAATGACGAATAATTATCGTAACACTGCGCAAATTAAGTATATATTAAAAGTTAATTTTTCACCATGTGTACACTTGTGCTAATGTGTTACATATTTCTTCTGCCTGTGTCGTGGGGATGCAGTGCGTTACAGGAAGCACAAGACATTTTCGGGGTCGACTTCGATATGACTGAGTTCGATCAATACGGTGATGACGGATACGAGGAGTATGAGGAGGCAGAATTGGATGTAAGTAGCTGCCTTGTCGCCATGCCGACGAGTAGATGTTACCGTCAGCTCGGTGGTGTAAAATGAAACACATTAATATGGGTAGAATATTAATACGTTTACGCAATAGTTAATGAAGTATATGGTGACTGTTGAATAGTGTTTGACGGTGGATGTTGTGTGAAGACTGGTGAGGTTTGCTTGCAGATACCGCACTCCACACATTCTTCTCCAACATTGTGTAGTTATCTGGAAACAGTTGATTGTTGCTTTTATTACTTTTGGGGATTTTCGTTCCAAATACCATATTTACTTCAGTTACCGTGTGAAACAAATTGCGACTTAAAAATGCTAGCGGAACTTACGGAAGGTAGTGTTTTTGTCATGATGTAAACATGCCGCGTAAACAGAGCAGGTATCAATATCTGTATTTTGTCTCGGCGTCAGTACGAGGACGAAGAAGTGGAGGAAGGAGAGGAAGCTACGCGGACGAAGAAGAAGCCTAGCAAGAAGAAGGCGAAAAAGAGCATCTTCGATGTTTACGAGCCGAGTGAGCTGGAGCGAAGCCATTTCACCGAGGTCGATAACACGATCAGAACAAGTGATGTGCCCGAGCGATTCCAGGTAACTCTCGTTATTCATACACGCACGACAGATGCGACAAACTAGCTACCTGTGAATTCATGTCACATTACTTTCGTGACATAAGCCGCGTTCACACGTAGCAAGAAATCCGGTATTTAGCGTTCACACGAGGCAAAATAAGAGCCCAAGAAATACGGTATCTAAACAGATCCGGTATTTCATGTAAATACGAGGCTTCCTAGACCCCGAATAATTTGCCGTGCTTGAGAAATACCGGATTTCTTGGACCGCGCATTTCCTCGTGTAGACAGAGCCAAGAGACATTAGGGAGAGCTGAGACATGTTAGGCAGAGCCGAGACATATTAGGACAAAGCTGCGTCAAATAAGGCAGAGCTGATATGTGTGCGATGGTGGGCGATGGCGTTTGCATTCTTGCGTTCTTGCAGGCATCGAGTCGTAAGCTGTACAACTGGTTGAAGATAGCGCCGTACCAGGCTGAGCAGCAGCTGGAGGACTACGATGATGAGGACTACGACCCCTCGCACGGTCTCAGGGTCATCTCGATCGCATTCGTCCCCGAACTGTACGTGCGCGCCCCCGGAGTGGTGCATATGCTTATGTGTGGAGGGGAAAGGGGGCTCAGTAAGAGTAGTATCACATGTAAAAAAATTTAAATTTAAAAATTCAGCTGTACACTATATTTGAAATCATTTAGTATACCCACCTTTAACATCATATGTGCCAATTTTGGTGCTTTTACCAGAAACCCCACAATTCTTTTACATATCTGCCCCACTATTGGGGGTTGATAGCTAAAGGTGATCATATGAGAGTATGTGGCAGCTTAGCAGAGTAAATGTAGATTTCGGATGATTTGCATTTTGATTTATTCATGTTTGGTTCTAGAATATCGTGTATAGGTTTAATTCTTTCAGTAATGAAAATTGTTGGTCAGAACAGCTAAGAAAAGAAGGCATCAGTGCAACTTGCCAGTAGAGGGTAGACGTGGTAGACCCATGGCTGTAGGATGTTGAGAAGCTGTTAGTGGAGTGAAAACGGACAGCTATAGCAATATTCGTATGTTTACAGTGACATGGCAGCATTCGCAGCATTTGTGGATGGTGAGGGCAACATGCAGGACTTTCTGCGGCTGTGCCATCTGAATAAGCGCAAGAACTCGTACCATGAATCGGATAAAACCCTTAAGGTACTTCTTTTGTTTGTTGTTTGTGTGGATACATGTTATTAATGCGTTTATTTAATGACTATCTGTATTATAATCATAAAGATAATTTTTAATTACTATATAAATAATTAATGACTAATATATATATATAATGAAGATAAGACCAGCCTGCATTGATATATTGCGGCCATTATTGTTTCATCTATTTTACTTCATTAAATTAAGTAATCGAGCAAAAATAACCATAATATAAAAACAAAAATAATGACGTGTATACCCGAATTTATTCGGGATCAAAATGCAACCAAGTTCTCCCTGTAGCAAACGTCCTGGTCAGAGTCAAAAGAGGTTGAGAGCCAATGTCCGAGTGTGTCACTCGGATTTTTGTGTGAAACTGTGACACTGGTGTCACACTGCTCGTCAGTGAAAAAAATACACGGGGGCTCGGGGCGATTTAGCCCCCGAAATGCCAAAAAGAGCCCCGGAAATGTCAAAAAGAGCCCCCGGAAATTTGCATAGAGTTCAATGCAAACCAAATTTTAGAGTCCTATTTTCATGCACGCGAGCTTGAAAAGTAGCCCCCGAAATTTTTTTTTACCCACAATTTTTTTCCCTGCTGCTCGTACTCGTGTTCATGCTGATGTTGATGCTTCGTCTTGCGTCTCCAGGAGACGGACCTTCGGTCACTGAAGCGCTTCATCACGTCGAAGAAGCCGCACGTGGTCGTCGTGGGAACAGACTGTCGGGATGCTGCGATGATCCAGCAGGATGTGCAGGAGTTGGTCACCGACCTGGAGAGCGACAACCAGATGGCGCCCATCTCGGTGGAACTCGTCGACAACGAGCTATCGGAAGTCTACTCGACGACGAAGAGGGCAGACGTAGGTTTTCTCCCATATATATTCCCTGCTCTGCTACACGTTGCCACACTATCTCCTATCTACTATCTACTTTCACAGTGCTAGAGAGTTACCTTATAGCAGTGGTTCTTAACATTTTGCGATTCATGCACTCCTTTGAGAATCTGGTAAAAGCTATGGACCCCTCCCCAGAAAAAATGCACATGAACACAAAATTTTGCATGCGCCTGGTTCACGGACCCCCTGAAGCCCATCCACGCACGGGCCCCAAAGGATCACAGGTTAAGATTCCTTGCCCTATAGTGAGACTGAAGTTAAGTTGAAGTTGCAGTGATATCAAAAACTTGGTGTGGTTGAAAATGCGAGCAAGAAATATTTCGTCATGTTTTGTCTGCAGCAAAGTTTTCGCGACTACCCACCACTGCTGCGGCAGGCGATCTCACTGGCACGCCGCATTCAAGACCCGCTCATCGAATTCTCGCAGAAAGTAACTTTTGAGTATCTAGGCAGCTGTGTATACATGCGTGTATGTATGCACGGACTTGTACGCGTGCCTGTCTCTGATGCAGATATATTTCCCTTTAATCATCGAGTACCTGAGCAAGTTGACATGTCTGCACGCGACTGTGCTGCGTGTTGGCTTGTGTCTCGTCTGTGTGCACATGCCCCGTGTCACCTGACGTGTGTTGTTATTGTTACAGTCAGTTTTCGACGGCGGAGGATGTCATTAAAGGTTCTCAGCACATGGTTGCGACGCAGATCTCTCGCGAACCTCTAGTCCGACAATGCGTGAGGCAGACATACTACGAACGAGCCAAGATCCATATTGCACCCACGAAGAAGGGAAAGAAGGTAAAGCAAGTGTCTGTTAATGCTAACCAGAAGAGGGGTAATTTTCTTTAGCTTTAGTTTAAAAGTTGTATGTACACAGGCGCGTCCACACTGCAGGAGGATGACAAAACCTGAGACATAAACAAAATTTGAGAAACGATAGTGAGAGTGGAGTTAAACTAAGTACTCCTAAGGCTTTCAGCAATTAGGTAACGAAGTTTGCCAAAGGATACGTGAACGGGAAAGTGGAAAGATTTTTTCAGCCTGTGGTGTGTGTGTGATGTACCAGTGCCATGTCACCGAATGTCAGGTTTCCAAAAGGTTTTTTTACGTTTACGCAGGAAATTGATGAAAATCATATGCTCTACTCGCTGAAGTATATCAAGAACAAGCCAGTGAAGGATCTAAAGGGTGATCAGTTCCTAAAGATGTCCATGGTATGTATTTCACTAACGTTGGGTTCATGAGCTTCATGAAAAACCTGGAAAGTCTTGGAATTTTAAAATAACATTTTTTGAGGTTTGCAAAAAATTGGAAAAATGCTATTGTTACAGTTGGTCCTGGACGGTTCTGAAAATTAAGCACATCATTTGTGTCTGCGTTTTATCAGTGACTAGCGGGATACCCGGCGTTGCCCGGGGAAATCAGTGGCGTTACTCAGTTGGCTTGAGGCATGTTTTTAGCTCATCTGACATAGTCAGATGCAGCTTGTAGAATCGCATGAGCGTGCGTGCGTTTGTGCGTGCGTCCGTCAACAGTTGGGCACAAATCTAAACGGCTCGACGTACAGATTCGAAAGTCGGGACAGTGGTTATAATCTTTCTTTTGTAAAATCTGGCATTTCAGTTGCGATCCATTCATGTTAAGCCAACGGAAGAGAGAGAACTTGAAGAGGAGGCTGACTGGATTTATAAGCATGCTTTCTGCACTCCACCCATCTCTATACAGGTTTGTCCTCAGTACTGTTCTGTCCACAATATAATTTTAGAAAAGAACCCCTGCACCTGGTGAATCCGTCTGAGCTCGGTTGACTATTTAAAATGGTAGGCCCGTCTCCAGTAATGGGGGTGTAAAAGAACAACTGAGCGCGTTAAACCCTTTTGGCAGTATCGGCCAAGAGGTCGACTAGGGTGTAGGGGTTATGCACTAGGACTAACTAGTGAGTGAGACTTCAACTTCCTAACCCTACAGCTAGTTAGTTTACACTATGTGATCAAATGGGGAACTGATGCAGATCTGATTCAATTTAAAAATTAAACTGGTTTTCTCGTTACTACGTTTGCAGGACATGTACGATCAGGTAGAAGGCCTGAGTTACACAAACACAAAGGGACCGACTGCGATCGGGAAAATCCGAGAGGCGCTCAACTTCATGCGAAACCAGCAGTTTGAGGTTCCGTTCATCGCCTTCTACAGGAAAGAATATGTGGAGCCTGACCTAAACATTAATGATCTGTGGAAAGTCTACCACTGGGATGAAAAGGTAGCTACCTGTACTACTGTTGCACTGTGGGCGGGGCACTGCTGGTATCAAAATGGCAATATTACATGGGCAGAATAATGCTGAGTATTAGAGGCACACTAATGGTACTGCAGTATTGGAGGGATTGCACTAATGGCCAGAGTTTATATGGGACTTTGAACGTCTATGAATGTTAAAATGACATTTTTCAGGTCTGGAAAGTTATGGAAAATAGTCAATTTTTATATTTAGTGACTCCTAGCAAGTCCTAGAAAATGAGCACTTGTATATCGTACCCACAGTTTTCAGTGATAATGTTTATGCTGAATATATAACAATTTATTAAAGAAATTTTAACCCAGAGTGCTGCAAGTACATTAATCGCTAATGTACCAACCCTGAATAGTCTTGCACTAATCGTAGTAAAGTGTTGTCTATAGACATAGACTTTATGTTGTCAAATTAGCGAATTGGACCAATTTTGCTGCTATACAACCGACAATCGGCAGTGTAAACGCAAAAGTTGCGGGACCAACCGATCGATAGCAACTAGTTGAGAGATTAGAACATGTTCTATTTTCACCCACTTGGTGTTGCCGAATTGCGAAATTGGTTCAACTCGCCAATTTGACAACACAAAGTCTGTAGTGTAAACCCAGCTTCACACTGGTAGTACAGTAATACCGTGTAGTACAGTGTTGATAACACTGCTTCTGTTGCCATGGTTGCGCAGTGGTCGCAGCTGCGTCGACGCAAGAAGAACCTGACGCGTCTGTTTGAGCGTATGCAGCATTACCAGTACGAGCAGGTGGCGGCCGATGTAGACCAGCCCCTTGCTGACAGCTTCAGGACTCTCTCTGCGCAGGATATCGAGAGGTGAGAACAAACTGCATATATGTGTCTCTGTCTGGATGTCCGTCCATCTGTCCATCCATCTTTTTAATCATATTTCTCTATGCACATCCGTGCATTCATGCGCACGTGCACAGTTTACCCTTGGATACTGATATTGTAATTCTTGCCAATAAATTGTAATCTATGTAATCTATTGTTAAAAAAAGAAGTGCTCTCGATAACTCGTTTGAAAAAAAAATTTGTCTTTGCTACAATGGTGTCCTCAATTTTCTGGTTAAACCAAAGCCAATGCTTGGCTTCAAAAAAAATTTTGATTAAACAAAGGCAAAATAATCTTGCTTCCCCCCAAAAAATTACAATTGTACTCCAGATAGTGTAGTGTAAAAAATAATGCTATGTATGCAATAATGTAACCTAAACACTAGGGTTGTAACGATCCACCGAAATTGAATCGGATCGCGATTCTCTTCCCTCGATCCGATCCTCGATATTTTTCCCCGTATTTTCGGTTCCACTTCGATACCACTTTTTTCCTCCAATAGATGGCGGCACTACGCTATATACTGTGGAGTGTTACTCACCAATGTTACTCAGCAGAGGAAACCCATCACCAGTGCGAAATTGGAGGTCACAGGTCAAAGGGCAGTGGGGGAAAGGTTAGATATCAGACATTTTCTGAGGACATGGTCTAACGGACCGAGTGCAAACCTTTTTTGTTTCAGCGCTGACCTACCATTTTTATCACTTTATTGAAAGGACCATGAAATGTACTTTCGGCTGACGTGCGAAGAGTAAGTGTCTGATAACCTTTTGACCCTCAAGAGGAGGGTTAAACATGGATTTGTTGACTGTTAACAAAGGACCGAACTGCTTTTGCTATTAGAGCCCTCTTCACCCGCCCCCCCCACCACCACCACTGCGCTCGCGCTCGATGCATATCCATGATAACGTTAACATAGCGAAGTCATTAAAGTTACACAGCTATATCTTTATTACTGTACTACCAGTATAGCAAAGCCTATCAACACGGTGGCGGGAGGGCACACTTGATTCGGTTGCCAGTGAGTTTATCAGAAGAATACCCGGCTACTAGGCATTGGCCTAAGAGATATTAGGCTAATTGGCCTAAGAGATATTAGGCAGAGATGTGACAGAGCTGAGACATACTAGGTAGAGCTGACACAGAGCCAAGACATATTAGGGAGAGCTGAGTCATATTAGGCGGCGATGTGACAGAGCTGAGGCATATTAGACAGCTGTGACAGAGCTGAGACATACTAGGCAGAGCTGAAACAGAGCCAAGAGACATTAGGGAGAGCTGAGACATGTTAGGCAGAGCTGAAACAGAGCTGAGACATGTTAGGCAGAGCCGTGACAGAGCTGAAACATATTAGGACAAAGCTGAGACAGAGCCAAGAGACATTAGGGAGAGCTGAGACATGTTAGGCAGAGCCGTGACAGAGCTGAAACATATTAGGACAAAGCT